AAAAAAAAAAAAAAAAAAAAAAAAATACTGCTTTGATATATCTTTTTAATTTAACAAGAGTAGAAATAGAAACAATAATTACAATTCTACTTATATTTTTAATATCTTCTTATATCTATATATATATTAATAACTTATTAGTTCTACAAATACTTAAAAATCTTCTATACAACAATAATACTCAAATTAAACAACTCAACTAGAATATAATTCATATTATAAATTCTCTAATTAAATCTAAAAATATCTTTTGTACTTTTCATAAAATTAAATTTTACTCTAAAAATACTTTTCATAATATAGCAAACAAATTTATAAAAAAAGAAACAAATAAACTACTACTTAAAATTAACCTACAATATTTTACTTCACTACTTTTCTTTTCTTAAAACAATAATCTTATTTCTTTAAAATTACACTAATTTAACAAATTACTTTACTTTATTTAAACTCTTAATAATATAAATTAACTTAAAATATATTGAAACTTATTACTAATTAATTTCAAACTAAACTTCTTTATCTTTAACTTACTTTCATCAAATACTAATCTTTACTTTTTTTATCTCAATATTCTTCTAAACAATCTTCTAATAATAGATAATCTAAATATTAGACAACCTTATTTATACTTTACACCAAATTACACTTATTGCAACCAAAAAGAAAACATATTTTATCTGCTCTAATATAATATACATAAAACAAACCTACTCTTTATATTTTTTAAACTTTACACTCACAGATCTTGATACTATTTCTAATAGTGATCACCAAATCCTTACCTCCTCATAGTCTTTTCCTTTTGCTCTTCAAAATAGAATTAGATACAAAAATAATATTTGATATAGAAATTTGATTATAAGTCTATAAACTCTGAATTATGGAAGAATTTACAAACTTAATTTCATATAATCTAAATCAAAACAAAATATCAACAAACTCAATTTATATGAAATCACTTGAAAAAAGCTAATACAAATTACAAATTAGTATCTCTAAAGCTACTCTTTCAAAAATTCCTAACAAAAGATTTAAAGCCTTTAACTTCTAATATCAATATACATCTAAAGCTACTAATTTGTATCATGATCTTAAATCTTTAGGAAATATAATTCAAACTATTAAAAAAGTTATTAATGATAACTTATCTATACTAAGTCACATAACTACAACAATTCAATAACTTAATACAAATATGAATTTAAAATTTTAGCATCTTCTCTATCTTTAGAATATTTGGCTAATTAAGTTATTATTATCAAACAGTACTAGAAGACTTTTTATCATGCTTGCAATTTAGAAAACAATAAAGCAACTTACAAGCAGATTCAGAAAGCTCTGAATAAATGTTGTAACAATATTCAAAAAAATCTAACAAAAATAATAAATAGTATATTAAATAAAGAATTTTATTATTTTTCACATATGTGTTTACTGCTAGACTACAAATTTCAATAGTACATTACACGATTTTATAATAAATAATTGTTTAGTAGCACAAACCTGCAAATGTTGTTTATACTACGCTCCCAATGATTTAGTATTTCTATTTTTGGAAGAATCTATTGTATCGTGTTCTTATATATGCTATCATTAATAGACCCTCTAATAAATGTTCCTAACTTCTATTAATTGCTCTTTAATTTGCATGCGTCACATACATTACATAAAAGATATGCTAGGTAAAAGGATCGTGATTAGGTGACCTGATTTTGGAATATGATTCGATGTATTGTATGATAAAGCACAGCGATGGAGTTTAAATTTTACTTTTAGTCATTGCATAAATAAACAATTAGACTCATGTTAGTTAAATTCAATTAATAATCTAAGTTACAGCAATTCAAAACTCTATATAACCAAACTCTCATTAAATTTAATACACCTTTTCTTATCCTTTTTACGTCTTTTGTTACAGTAACAGCATATTTAGACGATTGACTTAGTGAGTCTTTTGCCTGTATAAATAAGGGATCGTAGTGAAAACAAATTGTTTAGAAGTATGTATGTATAAGGGCCAATACATAGTACTAATAGTGCTTGCAATTGTAGTACGTAGTTTTTAAGTTACTTTTATATTAAGTAAATAGTATGGTACAGTAGTATAGACATACAAAAAATTGCTAGTTTTTGAATGTGCATACGATAACAAATCACGTAAAGTTTGTATATCTCTTCTTAATGAATAAGATGAGGGTGATTATTAACATAGTCCTTTTCTCATTTTAGAGTAAGGGTAGGTTATAGTGAAATAACTATTTTTTAATAGAGCTTTTTCATTTCGAACAGTACATACTATCATTATGTTCTATTATAATACTTATTGTTTCTTTATCTTATCTCTTATATAGTACAATATGTGAAAGCTTAGAAAGAAACAAATTTTCTTATGAGTCTAGTAGTTAAACAATAAGTGAAAGTCAGAACGGATATGAATTTCTTGATATTGTTAGCAGTTTGGAATTAGAAGTTGAGACAGGTATAATTTTTATTAGTGTTTGTAGTAACTGCTTTGTATAACTCTGTAACTATGATACTTATTAGATTCTGAGTCAATTACTACTTGCGAATATATAACTACGTTTTTGTGTTTGGGAAAGAGATTTTTTACGTAGGAAGCATGCAAAAAGTTTCTTAATGAATAGGCCAAAGAACAAGAGTTTCGAATTATAAAAGACTAGGTTTAACGTGAAGAGAGTATTATTCACCAGCAGACTTTTCTATGTAAATATAGTTATTCATATGACTCAACTTCAAATAAAGATACTAATACAAAAAAGACCTAATGTCCTTTTTTAGTTAATACTTCCTGTTCAAAAGTTAATAATCCTGAAAGTACTATAGTCGTCAACAAGATAGTATATGAACATAATCATCCATTAAATCGCGAGTTAATTGTGTTCAAAGATACCAAGAAATTTATCGATTCAATGCTAAAAGATGTGAAGTTCATGACTATGTACTATAAATTCAGAGCAACGGTGCAAAGGAAATTTCTTAAAGGAAAATATCTAACTCATCCAATTCACTCGAAAGATCTATACCATATAATCCAAAGATTTTGGCTTACTGCTAAGTTCTTGTTAAATGATACTGTACAAATTTCAAATTGGTTAGACCAACAAAAGGAAAAGGATCTACGTTGGGTTATTGCCTGAAGCTGGGACGAAGATAATACCTTGACGCACTTACTTTGAATGAAATCGGAACAAATTGAAAATTGGATTCAATATTCTGACTGTGTTTTCAATAATGTCATATATAAGACAAACCGCTATGGTATGGCACTATCATTATTTGTCAGATTTGATAATAACCGTCAAAATATCTTGTTGGCGCATGTACTTCTAGCTGACAAAAGTCTTGAATCTCATATTTGGATATTCCAGCAAATAGTTAAGGCTACTAATACTCAACCTTTAGTTATACTTACTGATACTGATCCTGCTGTTAACACTGCTATTCATCAAGTATTTACAAATACATATCCAATTCATTGTGCATACCACATTACTCAATTTATATAAAAACTTAAGAAAATTATTAGGTAAACTTATCAAAAGTTTCTTGACAACTTTTACCTTTGTCGCAACTGTTTGAGTAAGGAAGGATTTCAATAATATTTTGAACAGCTTGTTAATAATCATACTAAAGCTTAACATTATTTGGAATTTTTATATAAGTCTAAAAACTATTGGGCATACTGTTTTACTAATTTTAAATTTATGGGTGGTATGATCACTATGTTGTATGTTGAATCCATGAATACATGCCTAAAGCGTTTAATATATAATTTAAACACTTCATTGTGTGAACTTGCTACTGAAATTCACAAGTTGCTCAATATTCAAGATAAAGAAAACGAGTATAAATTCTGGAAGTTGGCAATTCCAATGGTAAAACATCAGGAAAAGGTTAATTTTTTGTTCTCAAAAGTAGATCAGTATATCCAGTGGTTTCTTACTCCTATGATGCTGAAAATACAACAAGATAAAATAAATCAATCCGTATATTATGTCGCTAATAAAGTTGCTTATGAGAATATGGAAAGTTTAGATGATGATGATCTACAATTTAGTTCTCAGGAATATAGTGCTAACGATTTGCAAGCTATGCTTAAACAAATGATTGAGTTCGTTGGACTAGATGATATTGAAGAGTTATGGACTATTAATATCAGCAACTCATTAAAAAGCAAACACTATATTATATTATTAGAAAATGAATCTCATCTATGTTCCTGTTTGCCTATTATTCATCGCAGCATTGTGTGTAGACACTATTTTCAAGTGATATTAGTTACAAGTAAGACAAAATTTCATATTCACCTTTTACCTTCACGATGGTTTTATACAAGCGAAAATGGAATGGAAGAACTATTTTTAGTTGCAAATAAGTTTTATCAAGAAACACAGAATCAATTGAGTTGCTCCTTTTCTGTTCAATATTTATCTATTCTTGGAAAAGACTTAATGGAAGAGAATCTAACTGTTTTAGAGCAAAAAGTCACTTATAGAAAAATTTATGGAACGTACAAGAAAGCTCTTTGTAAGGTGTTATAAATGCATTCAAAATCTGAAAAATTAATCAGTTTGCTTGAGGAATTTGTTGATGATAGCGATGAATCAAATTTAGAAGATCAAGAAAGTGTTACTGATGCAGATGATAGTGATAAAGAAAATGACAAAATTGATAATTCTATAGCTTTTTGTATTAAAAATCCAAAAGTACATTGCGGTAAGGGTCGCCAACAGGTAGTAAACGTCTCAAATCAGCATAGAAGCAAAAAATATCAAAATGAACCAACGTCAATACAAAAAATATGGAGAACTTGGTCATTATCAAAAGGGTTGTAAGGTATATACGTTACTTATGTGATTAGCATTCTTATATTACATTATGAAATTCATGCTAATTGCTGTGCTTTTAAATATTGCAATTAGAAATAATGATAGCTAACAAATTAGTATTAAGTTAGGTAACAAGGAAACTGGTATGATCTATTAGTTGTTTTTCAGAGTGTTTGTTGATTATGTAATTTGAAATTTATGTATGTGACTGTTTATGTTATTTTGAGACGCAATTAACAAATTCAATAACTGTTATAATCTAGCCTTAAACAAATGTAGTTTTCATTTAAACAATTGTGTCTTGGGTTATTTTTAATAGTTTAGACAGTAACTATATGATATTAACTATTGGTTCTGCATTCAAATATGTTATTACATCCAGTTTTGTAAAACTACATATTCTTACTATGTATAAGTATAATGCATATTAATTAGATCAGGTGTGCATATATGTATGTGTGTACGTACATAGTTCACTAGTAAAATTTGGGTGATATACGTAGAGCAAATTACAATATGTATTGAAACACGTCTGAAATACTATGTCCGTATTGAAACACGTCTGGAATACTATGTTGAGATATATTGACTAACTTAATTTTTAGCACTCTTTAAACTGTGTTTCAAGTAATGACCCAGGACATTCTTTGTGTAAATATATTAGATAATTTCATAGGAATTTTAAATATTTAGTTGATTAGATTAATTTTTGAATATTAAATATTAATCACATGATTTGAGAGGACTAGCAGTATTCTGCTATAGCGTTATATTACAAAATTCTTAATTATATATTACTTTGAATTTAAGTTAATTCTGTATCATTTCTAGGTTTTGCGCAACCTTATTGTGTACTACTTTATTGACTAATTATCTGGAATTAAAGTATTTACTGTTACATTTCGAACACTTAGAACCAAGCCTATTTCAGTAAACTCATGTTCAAATTTACTTGATTTCGTACAAAATAATAATAAAGCCACTTAATTTAGAAATTTTTAAGGAGATCATCTGAGCATAATGGAATTCAGGACGTACACTTATTTGCGCTGGTGATAAGGAAATTTTCGTATATAGAACGTAAGATTAGATAACGTTTGTATAATATAACATCGAAGACTTTTTTAATAAATCGCCTGTAACTTTAAATTTTAACTAAGAAACCATCTTTGGTGTACTAATTAAAAAAATTTCTTGCTAAATTTTGCATATATACAACTTTGCTAAAATCCTAGGCCTCATCCTAACCCTAAAGTTCTAAATTCAACGTTTTATTAGTAAATAAAAATACAAATATTTGAATAAGGCAGTAGATAACAACCTCCAGCATTCTGATCTGCGCTAGTTCAGCCTCTTTATTCCAAAATGCATTGACAGCATCTGATAGCATCTCAATCTTGATTAAAAAAAAAAGATATCTGGTTAATCATAAAGCAAAACAAATAGAGAAAGAAAGGTAAATAGATGAAGGAGAGATGAAGGAGTAGATAAACACAACACCCACTCTTAGTCTTCTGGAAATCTAGGACCTAAGGTGCAGATATTAAGCTGTGAAAGCTCCTTAGAAGAGAAACACAAGTGTTCATACTACTCAAATTTGGATGTATATTTATCAACGAAGTCGCAACCATTCCTATTGCAAGTTGCAACTCACAACAGTAGTCAACAATATATTATCCACTAGTACAGAGCTACAAACACAATACTTGCTCTTAGTCTTCTGGAAATTTAAGATCTAAGCCAAAGCTAGAGTGCAGATATTGAGCTGTGGAAGCTAGGGATGGGTTCAGTCACAAATAGTCATAATTATTCATAGCTAATTTTCTAATTACTGAAAGGATTTTTTACTTTTGAGTTTTTAATTAAAGTTGTTCAGAATTAAATTCTGATCATTCCATCTTATAAGTATAATGAACAATACCTTCACTAGAACTTAAAATTTCAAATTTTATACTATCATAACTAGTTATTAACTGTCAGTTAATAACTGGTCATAACATTAATATCTTTTGAAATTCTGAGTTCTAGTGAAGGTATTATTCTTTATACTTATACGATTGGATGATCAGAATTTAATTCTGAACAACTTTAATTAAAAGCTCAAAAGTAAAAAATTCTTTCAGTAATTAGAAAATTGGCCATGAATAATTATGACCATTCGTAACCAAACTCATCCCTAGTGGAAGCTCCCTAGAAGAGAAACACAAATGTTTATACTATCCAAATTGGGATGTATACTCATCGACAGAGTTACAACTATTCTCATTACAAGTTACAACTTACAACAGTAGTTGACAATGTATCTTGGCTTCATCTTCTTCTCTTTCTAAACAAAAAATTATTCACTTCAGAAATGTTAACCACTTTTGATATGCAGAGTTTGCTAAATCCATAATGTTTATTGATAGTTTTGAAGTTCTCAATATAGTTTCAGTACTTGTCATCTTTCTTCAATGATACATCGAGACATATCTTCCTACAGTACTTCAGAAAAGACTCGAGGCTTGGTTTACTTGTATTTGCTTAATAATCTGTAACAAAAGAAGTCAGTGATAATTAAATTCTAGTAATTAAACACTTAGAGGTACATAATCATTAGGAAAATGCAATTTTATAAGGCAGTCTTTCACAAGCTGCATTTAAGACAATCTGGAAGGAATGACAGATCCTTAAACTAACCAAAATTTGAGGTGAGATATAGTTTCAAATCCAAATCCTAGTTATCTTCAGCACAGTAGAAGCTATCTTGATAAACCTAGCTATTAAAAACTAGACCAAATAAGCCTCAATCTATTTACAAGCAAAAGGACCCCCTACTTCAAGTATGAAGAACTCTGGAGTATGCTACTCTATTGACAACCTTTATTGACAACCCTACTCATAGTACTGTTACAAAAGTTTGCATTTTTGATAGATCTACGATATACTCAAAATTTGATTACATTCTTGATACACTTTTAGTAAAATATTTTTGAACTTTGAGTGAATATATCTCAATAACTACTTGACCAAATTCAAAAAAATTTTTTTTGTTTTAATTCTATAGATGTTTGGAATTCAAATAAAAAAAAATTCATCGATTTTAATCAGGTGGTTGTTGAGATATCTTCACTCAAAGTTAGTAAACAAATTCGAAACATCTATTAATTAAGTGCGCAAATTTTTTCTAAAACTTTGAGCAAAGATGTCTTAATAACTACTTGACCAAATTCAATGATTTTTTTTTGTTTTAATTCTACAAATATATAGAATTCAAATAAAAAAAAATTCATTGATTTTGGTCAGGCGGTTGTTGAGATATCTTCGCTCAAAGTTATTAAACAAATTCAAAATATCAATTTATGCAAAATTTTTTATAAAACTTTGAGCGAGAATATCTCAACAACTGCCTGACCAAAATCGATGAATTTTTTTTTATTTGAATTCTATATATTTGTAGAATTAAACAAAAAAAAATTAATTGAATTTGGTCAAGTAGTTATTGAGATACCTTCACTCAAAGTTTAAAAAAAATTTGGCGCACTTATTTTAATAGATATTTTGAATTTGTTTACAAACTTTGAGTGAAGATATCTCAACAACTGCCTGATCAAAATCGATGAATTTTTTTTATTTGAATTCCATATATTCATAGAATTAAAACAAAATTTTTTTTTGAATTTGGTCAAGTAGTTATTGAGATATATTCGCAGACCTATCAAAAATGAAACTTTTGCCTGTTCATTAAAAAGGTATAAACTGGTTTTGGTACAGAACTCGGTCAGAGAGTTTTGGTTACACCTAGGTTTGTTACTCAACAAATTAACCAACAAACACTACAAATCCAACAATCAATCCTAAGTTGGTAGGCTGAAAGAGGTCGTGAAGGATTTGGTCTGAGTTTTAGGATTGTATAGAGGATTTCTTAGAGGTGAGTGTTGTCTTGTTCTTGTTCTTAGATTATGCTTGTTTTACATTTCAGATTGGGGCTTTTCTTATAAAGACAATTTCTTATCACATAGCACGTGATCTGGTTCTCTTTTACGATTGAGTAGCATTTTAACAATTAGGATCTAAGTTTCTTAATAAAACTATTTATGGAGTAATTGGTTATTGTTTGATTTATGCGGGAATTAGTTATCACAATTCTCTATAGACAAAAACAGTAACTTTAATAATGAGAACTTATCAGACCTAACTTTTACTCGAATTTCAAAGTATTGGTTTTCAAACACAACTTATTCAAGTCTTATTTGAACTCTGCCAAAGTTATTTTTATTTTAAGGGAAAAAGGTATCACTTTTATACTTTCTGCGATATTAGTAAATACATTTGGAATATATCTAATTTATCTATTTTATCCAATATTCCTTTTGTTATATATCTCATTTATCTAATTTATCAGATATTCCTTTTGTCGTATATTTAATTTATTAAATATACCATAAATTAGATA